TAGATGTTGAATAATCATATGAGGACAGTTGGTGAAGGAACACATTAAGACAGATGCTGAATAAACACAACAGGTTAGGTTTTGTTTTTTTTTCCCTGTAGTTCAATGACACAAATTATTGGACCTTGTAGGTCAATGAACACTTATTGATGCAATGAGTCTTTGATTTATGTGTTAGGTCACTATACATTCTTTAAATAAACAATTATAACAGCAGGCAGACCAAATAGAATCACAACACTAAGTTGTGCGACAGATATGTATAGCATCTCATTTATAATGTACTATATATCTATATCATGCATTATTATCATCTGTCCATTACATATCATGTCTACTAACATATTATATCTACTAACATATCATGTATCCATAACATATCATGTCTACTGACATATCATGTATACTGACAACTTAAGAAAATAAAAAATATCAAGAAAAAAATGACAACCTGGACTTTTGCTGACCTTGGCCTTTGGGGCCTACGACCCTCTCTTAACTATATAATTCTAAATAGACTCACGGTTATAAGACACTTCTGCGTCCTCACAGCTCGGATGAGTACAAACTATTTCTGGGGAGGAAAATAAATGCGTTTGGTGAAGTGCTGATCACGTGGTCCGCACTATAACGAAATAAAACTTTGTCAAGGAAGTAGAGAGACGCCGTTTCGTAGAAACAAAGATGGCAGGATGGACATGGACTCAACCGAGGGGAGTTTCCCGGAACAGAGTCCAGTCGAAGTGCTGTTGCGACACGCTCCACTGGGAATTACGTAACAAGTACAGCGCTAGTTTTTTTTTTTTTTTTTTTAAAGCTACTATTTATTAGCAGCAAAAGTGTTCGTCTCCCCCATCCAAACCACATCGTCGTGTCACTAATTACTCACTCACGGATCGAAGTGGCTCTGACTCACGCCAATAGTATTCAAGTATGGCTTCACGCTTGGTTAGTTCAACCACCTTTCAGACTTTCTTTGTCTTGTGCAGCTATCTTAAAATATATCGCTCAATCGGTGCTCAAACGTACCACCCTCCCCCAATTAGTTTACTTAATGCAGTGTTTCCCAAACTGTGCTCCACAAACTACTGGAATAATTTACTAGTAGTAGGCCACCCGTGAATTAATCTCTCTTAAAAAATAAGCAAAGTGTTCCTCTAAATGCTCAGATTATGCGTAATGTTCCGTTAAGGAAAAAGCTTGGGAAACACGGACTTTATGTGTGTGCAGCTGAAGTTTTATTCACGTGTAGTATATATCAAGATCTTAAGTCTGGTTTGTAGTAGAGCACGCACACATACCTCAGACACATACACACTTAAAAGTCAAACGTCTTGATGTACTAAATCGGGACCATAGTCTTCCGTTTGGACAAACTTGAGATCTGGGCCACTGGGTCGCCTGCTAAAATCAATATTTATTGATAACACACAATCAGCCATACTTGAGTTCAATTTTAATTGCAGTGGTAATGTGTTCCATGTCTCATGAATCAGTTATCAAAACTTACACACTAAGAAAAATTCAACGAGATCTCCCTTTTTAAAATCTATTTATAGTTTACCGGGCAACTCTGGTTAGAAGAAAATATTTCTTTCTTAAATAGGAAACTATTTATTTTTACCGGAAGTAAACTCTTATCTTTTTTCTTAATCTAGACATGACCTTTCAACTTTAGCGAAGAGCAGATTTGAAAAACAACAAAAAAAAAAAAACAAGATTACAAAGAGAATTTGTGTTGCCACACAAACTCAGAGGCGGCCCCCGTGGGAGACGGATCACTGTCGGATCCGCATATTCGCTGGTCGACTGAGGATGGCATCGAGCAGGGTATGAAACCGAGACCGTAGAGATAATCAGTTCTGCGCGCTAACCGCACGACCAGGCATTGCTCTTAATCTAATGACAAACTGGTTACAAACTAATAGCCTACTATTGATAATATACCTACATATTACGAATGACAACTACCGGATATGTACAATATGTCAAAAGAGCGATTTAAGATAATCTTTTGGTATTGAGCATTTTCATTTAGGCCTAAATGGAACTAGAATGAGGATGTAGATCTACCTAAATTAAACTACTAATATAGCACTCTCAATATCTATATCTATTAGATCTAGATCTAAAATATATATTTGGGATAATGTAGATGTAATTTAGATAAGATTTATATATAAAAAAAACACTAGATAATCAATTAATAGACTAATTGCAAAATCTAACTATTAAAATAGTAGATTAGTTTTAGTATTTTATAACATTGCAATATTGACATATTGACAATCTAGACTTTAGAAAAAAAATCTACACTTAAAGCCTAGAAATTAAAATTATAGATCTTGATCTAGTCTAAATAAGGGCTGTCTGGTAGTGCGGTTTGCGCGCTGGATTTTCGTTTGGATTCATCGATTGTCCCAGGTTCAAACCCTGCCCGCTCCCATTATTTTCTATAATAGTTTCTAGTAAATTACTTTCTTATTTAAAAATCCTGAATAACCTATTGTCGATATTTTTGAAAAAAATATAATTATTTGACATAAATTTGTTTTTTTTATTAAACAATATCCGGAACAACTTTATAGTTAACGAAATATAAATCAGTATAGATATTTTTATTTAGCATTTATATGCTATTTACATTAAAAAACCGGAACAATATATTAAAGATCATGTCTTTCTTGCAATGTCTAAGCATGGAAATAAAATCTACTATAACTTAGAAGAGCAAACAAATATTCATTGGCATTGACTTGTTTTTCACAAAACATCCGGAACAATCTATTATAGATACTTTAAACTATTGCATTATTTCTGAATGAAAAATTAAAGGTTAAATCAGATTTACAATAACCTCTAGTGTTAATTGTTAATCTAATCGTGACGAACAGACCGACCAACAGACAAAACGCACAAAAATAAGCTCATTTTATTCGGATGGGGGCACTAAACAAAAAAATAAATAAAATCTGATTATTTAAAAAGTTTAAGGAATTGGTCTAGGGTATGCTTATGTTGCTACCTTACGCTACTGCACAAAAGTCGCTGCTTAAAAAGTCCATTTTAAAAAATGTGCATGATATTTACATACAAAGTGCATTATTAGCCTTTATAAACAAACAGAAATGTTTTCTTTTAATTTTAGCAGCTAGTTAACAAGAAAAAACATCTTTAAGTATTATTTATATTTGTTGTAAACATATCCTGTACATTTTATAAATATATTTGACTTAGTGATACTGAAAATACACAAAAATTATTCATCCCCGTTAGCATATTGTAACATTGCCTCCCTTACATTTACGTAATTGTTTTAGAATTGGTGTATTTTTATGAAAAAATCGCTTGCATAATTAATTTTATAAATTAAACGGTTTGCTTTTAGAAAACCAAAAGTAGCCGTTGCACCTAAACTTTTCAAGCCGGATTTAATGATGAAATAATATTTTTCATATCTCTTCTAGTTTTTGAGATCTGAGTGTGACAGACGGACAGACAGACAGACGGACATTTTGCACAAACCTAATATCCGCTTTTTCCCCTTACGGGGGCAGCTAAAAATGGCTTTATATTTACATTTCTTTGTTTCTACAACTCTGTGCAATGAATTGAAATCTTTTAAAACGTTAAAAAAATCCAAACAGCTAAATCTCTACCATTAGATCTGCATCATTCCCAAAATAAGTAAAAACAAAAACGGCGCTAAAAGTAGGCTATATAATAAGAAGTTCACTTTTTCATGAGCCAGGGTCAGATTTAAATAAATTGAGGCCGTGGTCAGGAGGTTTGTTGAGATCCCCACTCCTCTATTGAAGAAATAAATGAAAATGCATTAATTAATGTTAGGGGAAAACAATGAGAAGACTCTGTACACTTCGGTTGAAATAGTTGATATGTTCTTACTTTGTCCCCAAAACTCTTTAAACCCATCAATAAAACGGCCCCAAATTACAACTCTCCCCCACCCCAAACACATTTTTCTAGCCCTCCAATTCTTTGAACATTTTTTTTCCTTTTCATCCTACAGTATAATTATATTAAGTCTGCATTTCATGATCCAGGGTCGGATTTAAATAAAAGAGGCCGTGGGCCATGGTCAACATGTTTGTGGAGGTTCCCACACCTCTTTTGAAGTAAGTGAAAATGTACCGGTATTTAAAAAATAGGGAAATGAGAAATATATTCTGTTAAGGTTAGAAAGTCAAAACTTTCTGGTTATTGTTAAGTAGGGCACTAGTAAGGCGTAGACGAAGTCCAAGTGGCGTGCCAGTAATACAATACCAGGTACGTCACCCAAAGGTAGAATCCCTTACCTCAGCCTAACAGCTATATCCAGGTAGAATCATAACAATGGAATAAAAGAAACAAATCCAACAAGGATGATACAACCATTAAAACTGGTTTTGCGTGGAGCGTACATTCTAAACTTGAGCCTCACGCACACACACACCAATAATTAGACTCGTTAAGTGAGATTAGCAAATACACTTAACAAAGAAGCGAATGTTGTGTGTCGAGCTCGGATCAATAGTACACAGGTCGAGGCAGGCTATATAAGGAAACAGGGACAAGAAGTAAGAGAGGGTGGGGTGGCTGAGAACCTGTTTCATGAATGACTGGATATTGCGCATGGTGACACAGTTATGACGGCTGTTAAGTCAGGGGGATGTTAGGAAAATGCCTGGAATGCACTTCATAAAAATCCTATTGCGTGGACGTAACCTGCTCTTAGCAAGAGCAAATCTTGAACGTCATGTTGCCAAGACGTATCTTGCATCTCACATAGCATGGCGTTTCTTGCACTTAACATTGCCAGGGAGTATTTTGCTTTTTTTTATTATCATGGCATACCTTGCAATTTATGTCGAAATGGTTATCTTGCATTTTATATTGCCAGGTGCGTATCTTGCGCAATTATCACCATGTCATATTTTGCCCTTTATATTGCCAGGTGCGTATCTTGCATGAATAGTGAATACAAAAAACAAACACAGTTAATTCTAATTGTGTTATATTATGTTTTTTTTTTCTTCAAATTATTCATATATATATATATATTAATAAAAATCAGTTGTAAATAAATAAATATGTAAAAGTAACATCTGCATAAAAAAATTAATTCTAAATAAATAATATCACATTGAAAAATTTTATGTAAAGATTAGTTTCATACCATCCGTTGAAACATTTACAGGCATTGATATCAATAACATCATAGTATTTATAATCACACCGCTCGCTCCATCTACACAGTAAACACAGACGCAGAGGAGAAACATGGTATGTATTGTTTACTTATTCGATACAGGATTTTGACACTGCTAACGGACATTCTCTCTAACAAACACATACTTATATATATATATATATATATAACGTTATATATGTATGTTTGCATGCATACATGCTAACTTATACACAAACTCAGATTCTTAAACCACGACTCAAGTACTATATGCAAAGAATCGTTAATAGCGTCAATACATTCGTCTCTTAAAATGATTGCTGTCCTTAGTAAAACACAAACTAGAGCTGTCTTATTGTAACTTGTTTTCCTACTAACTTTTGAAATATTTATTCATTAACTTTACGTTTTTTTAAAACCCAAAACAGATTCACTCTTATACGTGTGATCATAGCGCTTATTAGATGGAAGTAATTGTATATTATTGTAATTACCCAATCTATTGAAATAGTTTGTTGGGAGTGTACTGTAGTCTTACAAGACTAGATTTTTTTTTTGCCTAATTAGTAAAAATGTTACACGTAAATTTCCAGTATATTTATTTGGGTTTATTTTTTAAAGATTCAAAAAAAAAAAAAAAAAAAAAAAAAAAAAAAAAAAAAAATTCATAGCAATTTTTTTAACATCTAATCGAGATTCATATATTTGCATAATTTAATAATATAATAACATCAATTGATAATTGATTTTATAATAACATCAATGTGAAACAATGAAACGTTATATCATAGTGGGGAATGAGTTCTCATTAAAATGAAATTAAATGCTGAATGTGTGGCATTAGGTTATTGACCTACTTAGAGCCATCGTAAACCAACATCACAACCAAAGAAGTGGTTAAACTCTATGAGCGTCCAGGCACTTCCAGGCAGTTTCCACGCCTCTGCATTCTGAACTTGCGATGCTTCAACAAGAGAGAGACAATGCATCCAAAATGTGTGTGTCGAGGCGTTGTGTGTGTGCAGGGCGGTCCTAGCGATTGCGGGGCCCAATGCGAAACTGATTTGAGCGGGGCCTAGTTTGTGTGGGAATAAGGATAATAAGCGAAAATTAAGATTTTTTTATAAAAAAAAAATTCGACTTTGAATTTTATTCATTCTTTACTTAGTTAAAAATTGCGATATGTACTTTACGAACCTTGTAACCAATGACATATTCAAATGCCAGTGACTATAAAACTAAATAAAGTATTGGAACTTCCGATTAAGGTAAAATTTGCCCGATTTTTACATTTTATTACACGAAAGATGACAATGCTTTTTTTTCTTTTATCGAGCATAGTATTGGCGTTTTCCGCAATGAATGACACCGTGACCCACATATCAAATTTTGTCTATTTTTCTGGAGATTTTAAGAGTTTTCGGGAGAATTTAATAAATTCAGGAAATTTCCATGAGTTTTTCGTATATTTTTTTGCAAGTTAATAATTACACCTTGAATTTGCGCGGGGCCTATGAAAGCGCGGGGCCCACTGCAGCAAGAGTCTCAAACGATATAAGAAATACACAGCTTCTTGGAAGCACGATGACATTGTTTCCTTTAGTTAAGAATTTGTTGTGATGGCGGTTAGTGGCATTGTCTCTTCAATGCCTTCTGGATGGGATAGTTGTCTTATAGCTCTCATGCGATCCATGGGCGTATCTACATCTGTTGGCTGTTCCATCATCTCATTGATTTGATTCGATGCTTCAACTACACAGAGAAAGAAAAAAGAAGTTTGAGTAAACTGCTTTCACTATTTGTCACCTTACTGTAAGTCTGAATTTAAGTTTGTATTTCCATCAAGCTCTAATAGCTGAGACCGATGAAGGACAATAATGACAGTGTTAATAGTAGGCTGTTGGTCACAGGGCCGGATTTAAGGGAGGGCAGGTGAGGAATCCACAAGAAAGGGGCCTTCCACAAGAGAAAAGGGTATATCGGAATTTCAACGTGTCAGAAGCTTTCAATAGACTTGCAGTATTTTTAACGCTAACACTTTAAATCTTACGTTTCCTAGCAACACTGTCGTGTATGCTCGGAACATGTGCTCGGAATATGTAAATACGGTTCCCGGTTACTTCATCCCCTGGTCACTTCATCCCCCGGTCACTTCATCCCCCGGACATTTCATCCCCTGGTCACTTCATCCCCCGGTCATTTCATCTCCTGGTCACTTCATCCCCTGGTCAGTTCATCTCCCGGTCATTTCATCCCCTGGTCATTTCATCCCCTGGTCATTTCATCCCCTGGTCATTTCATCCCCTGGTCATTTCATCCCCTGGTCATTTCATCCCCCGGCCATTTCATCCTCTGGTCACTTCATCCCCCGGTCATTTAATCCTCTGGTCATTTCATCCCATGTTTTTTTCATCCTCTGATCATTTTATCTAACAAATAGTTATTTTAAAAATCATGAAATGACCAATATTTAATATGTTCATTTTTTTTAGATGACAAAAAGTGTAACCCATTAGAAAATAATAAAATTAAAATTAAATGCCATTAAAAAACTATAAAAATTTAACATGTATAAATAGAGGTAATGTAAAAAAAAAAAGTGATATCCTGTTATGGGTGAAGTAAGCCTTTGTTAGAAAAAAAAAATAAAACCTTATTTCAAGGCTAAAAATGACGCACCCAATTTCCAGAAAAAGCGTTTGAAAAATAAAAGAAAGTGAAACATGATCGTACTTGGTCGTAATACAAAGTGGAAAGGAAACACTATAAACGCATTAGTAACATGTCAAAAATATTAAAAAGCATTCAACATAATCATATATATATAAATATTAGCTGAAATGAGGGCTTAAAGTCAAAGTCTTAAAAGCACAATTAAACAATGAAAAAAGAAAAATATTTAATTGGGGATGAAATGACCGGGGGATGAAGTGACCGGGGAATTAAGTGACCAGGGGATGAAATGACCAGGGGATGAAATGACCGGTCACCGTAAATACTGCTCCGGATTTACGGTTGTGCGTCTACCAAGGGCCTTACCCTACACAAACTTAAAAAACTACATATTTTTTTACATATTAAATATTTTTAAAAAGTAAGGTGATATTAAATTCAGCATTGTATTAGATATTAGTGTATTTTTTTAAAAAGTGGATCTATATTGAAGGTTTCGATAAAGTGTAGGGGTCTCCATAAAAATCCTGTCCCTATGCCTCCACATACTTTAACCCGGTCCTGATGGGTCAGTAAGTACCCCTCTAGTATACAGTCATTTATTACCTGTTTTTGTTGACTCCTCTGTAGCTCTGTTCTCTTCACCTCGTCCTCGTGGACTCACCAAACACTTGATCAATATCACAATAACAACAAATTGAATAAATATCACGCTGGCTGTGACTGCTATAATTATAGTCCTAACGGTGAAGCAAGTCACTTCTTCTGTAAGTAAAGTTTTAAAGAAGAACATTAAACAAATATTTACTGTTTGTAAATTGTGGGCATGTATTAAACTAGAGCTTTAAAAACAAATTAATTACAGGCCATAGGCATTGCCTTTACCTACACGAGGGACAAATAGAGCATTTATGTTACTGAATTGAAGAGATCCGATTTAAAACATTTGTTTGTTGATGCCAATAATAGACAGCCCAACAATTACGTCATATTAGGGAAAATCAGTCAATTCGCTTGGTTACCGAGACACATTTCCTCAATACTATTGTTGTCCCGATGGTGACCTACGCCTGCGAGACATGGATGATGGAAGTTATTCATTAAGGTCGAAAAAAGGCTAAACGTGGATCATGCTTGGAATGACACTAGGACTAGCAAACCAAGATCACGTCACCGATTAAGAAAGCTTCTACCACATTGGCACTTACCCCCCCCCTTCTCCTCCAAAGTAGTGACCATATGTCGTAACACACCTGGGGACATAACCTTTGACAATTACAAAACACGTTACCCAAAAAGAGGCCTAAAAGAGGAAAATGGAAACAAGACCGTACTAGTTTAACAAAGTATAACACCTTCTTAGGTTTTAGAAGACCTAAATCAGTAGGAACATTTTGGGATGTCGCTTTTAACCAGTCTCTGCGGAGAGATTGTTCAGCCCTTTGCGCAGAACGGCGCAGGAAGATGGAAGTCTTAAGTAAAAAAAAGTCTAAGTCCAAACCAGAGCTTACACTGAATCACGATGAATAATGCTAAATAGTTAAATTAATCCAATGTTCATTCGTGGAAAAAGTTCACAGATGTATGGTGATTATAAAGGTATTTACCTTTATCTTTATGTGTTTGAAGAACGGAAGAATTGAAACGAGCGTAGCAAGCCAGTGCACAAGAGTGATGCCTCATGACGGAGACGTCTTGCAGACCTTTCTCCTGACACCACTTTAATAAGAGGCTCTCCTCCGAGACGTCTGCTTGGAAACAAGATTCGCAGGAGCCCTGGAAGCAGAACTGATCTCCCCCGCAGCAGACACCGTACGGCAAACAGATGTATGGCTTTTGTGCTGGGCAGACGATTGCAGTGACATCAAGTAATGCGGGTTCTAGACCTGAAACATTCATAAGTCAAATTGTAAATATGAACTTATAGTTATTAACATCTAATTATAATACCTATATAATTGATTTTAAATTTTAAATACTAACCTCTATATATCAAATTCTAAATGTGATTATCCAAATATCGATGTTTAAATATCTGTCTGCATATACAATTCTGACAGCAACGTCCAAATATTAACATCTAATTTATATAAATATGATACATCTAACGATCAACTTATCAACTTCTAAGTAAACACACTTAACTCACCTGACACACTTCCTAAAGTGGCTATGACTAGTACGAAAAATCCAATTAGAGCCATTGTTGAAATCTTGGAAGACATTTCTATATAGTAGAAAGAAATGTACAAGATCCATTTCTTAATTTGTCAATCAATACTAATTGTGTGTCACTATACACAATCCAACACACTTTGCATTTTCAAATCGACTAACAATTCAAAGTCAAATAAGTCTATGTCCACTACATCAGGTGTATACTATTACATTTCAGTATTTTTTTTCTCTGATGAAAACTGATGAGCTGTCACTAATTATAGATACTAATTATAGATCTCTCTCTCTCTCAATAAAAATTAAATATCTTCCGTCTTTAAATTCAATAATGGAAAAAAACAACACAATATGTAGTGACTTACATGTTACTTGGGATGAGCTTGTCGTGTGAATGTTAATACTTTGCGTATTTTCGAAAAGTTAAAGGAGTTATTTTAATAAACGGGAAAAGTAAGCTATGCATAAAACCAGAGAACTGCGTCATTATTAGTCATACGTACATGGGAAAAAATCGTTTTATCTTCTGACACCAAAAATACACAGTCCTACATTCCATGACTTCCCGATAATGTGGCTGATTGAACGTTCTCTATAAATATGTCCATGTAATGTCGCGTCCTTAAGGCCCATTTTTTGTTACCTTCTCTTCTGCGTGTGTGTGTGTTTGTGCGCGCGCGCCTTTGCTGGGGAGGGGCGAACCTGAGAATCGGGAATTACATTTGTGATAAAAGTAGTGGCGTGACCTTTACGTATTGTGCAATAGAGAAAATTCCACATGTTTGTTTCTAGAAACTATGTCTGTTATGTCTGT